CACTCTCGTAAGTGACCGTGAAGGGATTGACAACCCCTTTATCGCGTTGGTTGCGAGGTTCTTATTTGTTTGTGTAGGTACGAGGGACTTGCGTGTAGTCTCCTACTGGATTGATACCTTGGTTCTCAAAAATCGAGGGAAATACTTACGCTACTTTACCGCATCACCCTTTCCTCTTCAAGGGAAAACCAACGCAGTGCTCAAGAGGTAGCACACGGCCACCGGTACCCGACCATCCCCCACGCTCTCTAATAGTGTCTCCTTGTCCACTACCGCCAAGATTCATCCGTCCTCCATGAGCACCACTCCTGCCTCCTCGTCCACTACCACTGCTACCTCCTCGTGTGCCACCGGTACCTCCTCTTCGGGCACCACTTTGACTAGTGGGATCTGGAGTGTTGGCATCGGTCCGTGGCTTCTTGGTGCATTTCCTAACATTGTGTCCCGGCTCATCACATTGACCACAACTATTGATGTCCGGTGCCTCCATGAAATGGCCGCTACCAAATTGTTTCATTCCGGTGTATCCAGCTAGATCATCCATGTCACCCCTAAACCTCTTCTTTCTTCTTCTTCCCTTTGTAGGCACCATGAGTTCAGAGTCGGGGACGATGTGTGGCCCATCATACTCAGGCCACTGTGACTGATCAAGGAAGGGATGAAACCTAGGAGCCCATGTCAACCTCGCCCGTTCCAATGTGAACTCATGCAACCGCATGGTGGTACCATCGGATACGTTCAAGTTTCTGAACCTTGCGATGGTCATCACATGCGAGCAAGGCCAATGATACTTGTGAGGTCTCTCGCACTGACACCACCGGGTCTTGAGGCGCACCTCATACGCTACTTCACCGTACGTCATGTCATCCCTTGTTGTGCCACCCGACTCATCGACTTGGTAGATTTGTTCTTTTTCATTGAAACTAATGATTTGTTGACGCCAAGACTTGCGCGCTTGATGCTTCAACCAATCCTCAACTTTGAAGGGAAATTCCATTTTCTCACCTATCCATTTGGCCATCACTTCGGAATGCCTCAGAGAATACTTGTTGAGCTTGAAGAAGGTATATTTCACTATTGCAGTGACCGGAAAGGAACGAACACCCTTGAGCATATTGTTGAAGCATTCCACCATGTTACTTGTCATGTCTCCGTATTGGAGACCTCCTTCGTCGTAAGCACGTGACCACTTATGCTTCCCCGGAAAATGCCTTGTCAAGAATTCTCTCCCTCCTTTGTTCTTCTCCAACGCCTTGAATAATTTATCATAGCGGCTTTGGAATGTGTCGGTGTTGAATGCCACACAAACATGGGTAAGATCTTTGCAGAACTCCTTACTCTTGCATGCACGGTAAAAGTTTGCCACGAAATGCATCATGCACCAACGGTGTTGGAGCTTTGGATAGCCTGGAATGTCAACTTCTATTGCTTTGAGAATCCCATGATGGCGATCCGATATGATGCACACCTCTCTTTTGGGGCCAATCACCTTCGTCCTCACATGATCCATAAACCACTCCCAATTATCATCATGCTTGGAAGGCACCAGCACAAATCCCACCGGCAACAGATTGTCATTGGACGAGTGAGCCATTGCTACCATCAGCGTGCCCTTGTACTTTCCGGTCAAGAACGTGCCATCAATTGACAAGACGGGGCGGCAATGCCTAAATGCATCGATGCATTGCCCAAAGCTCCAAAAAGCTCGATGAAACACTCCCTCGATTGACTCAACCCTATGGCGCATGCCCGGGTTCCGATGAGCAATGGATCCCAACATTCTTTGAAGAATATTGTACGCGGCGACATAATCACCATGCAACATCCTTATAGCATTTTCCTTGGCCATCCACACCTTGCCTTGTAATGAATCTCTTCTTGTTCCGCATACACATCATCTTGAGCAATAGCATCTCCATCAACATGAGCAATGGCATCTTCATCAACATGAACATTTGCATGTTCATCAACATGAGCAAAGGCCTCATCTCCAACATGACCATCACCTAGAAGAACTATGGCTCTACCATTGATGCCCTCTTCATTTGGTTGGCTACTTGGTGGTTGGCTAGCCGCATTGTGGTCATACACCACGACAGCATCATGTATTGGGAAGGACACATTCCGGTTCAAGTCGAGTAGTGGCCGAGGAACTTCAACATTTACTTGTATTGTGGCAAATAACTCAAGTGACTTGTCTTGTGATCCCTCAACTTTCTCCTTATACACATCCCAATGCAATTGAGAGGTGATGGACATACTCTTTAATCAGGATTTTACTCCCACTCCCACATCATACCGCCCAATAAGCTTCACACCATCACTTGGGTTAATCCAATTGAGGACGCTTCTCACTTTCACGACAATATCATCATAGCTCGGGCTTGTGTCAAAAACCATGGCCTCCTCCCCTTCGTCGGCTTTTCCATCCATGAAAGCCGCCTTGTCCAAATAATGCACATTCAGTAGTTTATCCATCTAAAAACAATGCAACAAAATTGAGTCATCCATGGACCGGCCATTTCATATGAATGAAGTATCTAAAATATAAGATTTGAATCTAACAACTAGTATACCTTAATCATAGCACTAACCCTAACCCTAACCCTGACCCTAACTTAACTAAACCCCTAACCCTAACCTAACTAAACCCCTAACCCTAACACTTAAGCTAGCTTGCCACAACAAGGAGTGACACAAATTACTTAGGTCAACCATAAATGCTAAACTAGAGGAAGAACTAGGGGGGTTGCAAAACTAGTTGATTCCAACAAAAGTAGATGATTTGAACCAACCAAATGAAGGGGGGGTGTGGGAGGTACCTTGGTTGATGCAAATGCCCTTGATCCACGAGGCAAATCTCAAGCAATGGAGGGGATCTAGTGGATGCTTGGGTGGGGGAGAAGAGGGAGAGAGAGTGAGAGCTCGGGAAGAAGATGAGTGGAGTGGGTGGGTGGTGAGTGGGCCCCACAAACCTTATCCTCCAGGACCCTACCGCGAGAGACCTGGGCGGCAGGGTGTTGGAGCCTACCGCCAAGCCTGGCGGCGGTAGGTCCCCTTTGCCACGTCAGCACCCGTTAACGGCCAGACGGCTGTCAACGGAACCTACCGTCAGGAGGGGCGGCGGTAGCCTGTAGACCGCTACCGCTGGGGCCTCCGGCGGTAGCCAAAAGGGTCAAATGTCGAAATTTTTTAATACCGAGATCAGATCCTGATTTTATACGTCAAAAGGATCAAAACACGAAATTTTGCCGCATAGAGCGGCTGCATACAACAAGCCAAGGAATCTCTCCATCTGTACAAAATGCTGTTTTTCTTAAAGAGAAAGTGCTGTGTTCTTAGGATCATGGGAGGCTGCGGCCATTGTTTTTTCACGATATGTACCAGAAGGCCACGTACGTGCTCAGCTCAACTGTATTGTTAATTCTGCCTTGAGAAATAACCTCCACGGCGTTATGTGCCTCTTATTTCCACTGTGGATCCGGCCGTAGTCGTTGCAAAAATCGTACTATTGCTGTCCTAGAAAACTTGCTTTGTTGCGAGAAAGCTTTGCAGACTCGTACAAGGACCAAGACGGCTTATTTGAAGCAGCACCGTGATGATCTTTTACACGGAAGAGGACGCTCGAATCAGTCAAAAAGAAACAACGGCCACGTCCAGACCGGTTCAGTTCCTCTGCAGACTGCAGAGGCCTGTCGTTTCACCGTCCACCGCCTTCACTCAACCCATCTGCCCGCTCTCAAGAAGCGCCAGTCCAGCGTCCAGATAGTAGCTAGCGCTGCTTTCCATAATTCCATGCTTGAAGGCGACACCAACGACAGTACAAGACGCAGCTCTAGCCTGCACAGTGGGGAAGGAAGCTTGCAGGGGATGGCACGCTAGCCAGGTGAGGTTTCGCAGGTGTGAGGTGCTTGCTATTTCGAGTATGGCGTGTGAAGGTGGCGCAGAGATCACACAAGTTGGGATTCTGTAGGGAGGGAAGTATGCAGGTGAAAGCACTCTGGTTGGGTGAGGTTTTGCAGCTGCTAGGGGCTTGCTATTTTGAATTTTGAGGATGCTTTTGTGAAGGTGGCGCAGAGATCACGGGGTCATGGGGTCACGGGCGTTCCGAGGGGAGGGCACCGTTGCGTCTGCACTGCAGGTGTGCAGCACGGCAGGAGCAAAGAAGGACGAATACCAGCAACCATGTTTAAGTTTTTTTACAAGAACAAATAAATTATGTTGTTATGAGCAGCATATTAGGGGCTTAGCCAAATGGGTTATGGCCCAAATATCTTAATCATTATTAGGGGCTTAGTCCAATTATCTTATCGTATTAGGATTGTTTGTTTAGGAGTCAAGTAAACCTCTCTATATAAGGAGCGAAGATGTATCAATCTAATCAAGCAAGAAGCAATTAATATTTGTTCAGCTTTTCTTAGGGAGCCGGGAAACCTAAACCCTAGCCGCCTCTTGCGTCCGCCGCTGTCGCACCAGCCGCAAGGACGGCGCCCAGCCGCCCGCCGCCATGCAATCTCCTCCTCCCTCCTTCCCTTACAGGCTACGCCCTAGACCGGATAGAACCCTAGTTTCTATCATATGTACTACTAACAGCGAAGGGAGACTTGCGACCCGTCACGCAAACAAAATGTCCGAATACGTAGCAATGAGCTTCGCACTGCACAAATGCAGAATCAGGCCGACGGTTTGAGGCAACTGCCAAGAGAAAAAAAGCTTCTGCCATTTTTCATCCTTGGCATTTGTACAAGAACTTCAGGTATCTTTGTATTCCAGTCTATTGAAACAGTACGTGCACAGGCTTACAAAGGAGGGCATATGGCAGTTCGTTTTGAAAAAAAAAAGGCATATGGCAGTTCAGCTACATATACATCACAGCCACACACTGCAACGAACGAACTATAAACACACCAATTCAGGAAGTAAGAACATAGGCACAACTACTATCTATTGGATTCCCTTTCTCCATGTCAAATTCTACTCAGAGAATAGGTACGCTCGGCCTATATCGACAGCGAGCTTCCTTCCTTGAACAGCACAAAGATGCTGCTGCCATCTCCTCTGGAGATTCTAAGCTCGGCATCAAGGTAGGTTGTGAGCAGCCAGGACCCAGCGCTCTCGCTCCTGAAAGGTATCTTCAGTGGGGGCTGACCGGAGATGGTCTTGGCGACGGAGGACGCCGCGTTCTCGATCGAAGTAAATATGCCGCTCAACGGGCTCAGGTCAATGTTCTGTCCAAAGAATTCAAACTTCTCTGGCAGTACAATGGAATCGGTCAGCTGCGGAGTGCCGATGATGCCTTCTTCAAATTTGATCTGAACACAATGAGAACTACATCAGCTGTGCTGAAGCATTTAGCAAAACTGGCTATATTTGTGGTGATAATTAAATACTGTAGCTGGGTGGGGGAAGAGGTGCGTCTGCAAACACTTAAAATATTAAAACTTACCAGACGGACATTTTAAGCGAACATATTGCATATGCCCGAGCTTTATTGTCCTGTTTAAATCATAGGTGTTCATCTCATCATTGTCAAAGAGTGTTTCATGCAGATTGGTGGGTTCTAGTTGCGCTGGATTTCACAACTTAACAATGAATCTAACAGTGTCCAAAAGCCCTACTGGCACCTAGGGACTGAGCAATGCAATCTACGTAATCAGTTAGCAAGCAAAGGGCAAACATGCTTCCCCAGTAACCACACACGTGTTATCACTTATCACTCTGAGTTTCCTGGCTTTAGCAGCCACTTTAACACCATGAATTGGTCCCCTTATGCTGCCCATGATTCAGAAACAATCCATGAATAATCCATTTCTATGTTTCCTCCCTTATTTTTACCATTGAGATTGAATAATGTTTTGGTAAAGCGTACATCAGAACTAGTCGATAGAATGACTGAGTAGCAACTGAAAATGCAATAATGATGTAGTACCTACAGAAATGCCTGAAAACTGCCCGTTTTTGTAAATAAAAGGTTACTTGAGAGCCTAAACCTTGAAAAACGATGCTCATTCTGTCAATGCTATCAATTTTACTAAAATTTCATTGCCACTCAGGAAATGCCAAGATAGACATGATAAAATGCTTTAAGATATATACCAAATGACTACTCAGTTGGGAGAGGAGAATCACACCTGTACACGTTTGGGGCTTCTAATTTCAAATTTGGCATTGGTGGACACTGAAGTTGACGCCAAAGGTCCTGAAAACTTGATGCAGTTCTGCACCGCAAAGTTCTCGGAATCAATAGTCTGTGATATTTCGTCCACCTTGACAAGAGCTTGTAGCCTTCCAGACCCCAACAGTGGGAACAATTGCGAAAATGATGTGTACCTGCAGTCACCTAATCAATCAATCTCCACAATTAAACGAAGAAGCTGTAATTCCACATAAGAAGAGTTTCGCTACCACGGACTAGTTCAGCATCCCGCCCGGTTATACTAAAAAAATGCATCCCATTCAGATACGTGCAGAAGTGGTTTTAATGATGTTCAGAGCACGTTAAATGACAAAGAACCGATTGGCATATCCTCAACTAAACGATAGCAACAGCTACCAGAATGTTATGTTTTATTAGTCCCTTACACATACTTTTGTTTAATAGCAAAGTCTGCTCCAGGGATTTCACATGGCTAGGTTTAGCACTCCAAATTGATTACTTAAAAGGTTGTAGGCTAGTTTACCTTAAGTGCTAGAGTAAAATATTAGATATAGCAATAGTTCTCCTACCGAACAAATAAGCAAGAAAAAATGCCAAAACTACACATCCAGTTTTGACATAACTTAAACAAACATAATCTGAAAGCGTAGAGGAGCATGTGGCAAGCACATCATGCAAACATAGAATATTTACCAAACGAATTACACCTGTTAGCTTTTGAAAATTCTTGCACATCAATTTGCCTATTCTCTAGAAAAAAATATTTACCAAAAATATCACACCACAGATCACCGATGTGAACTATGATGTCTGTCTTGAATAACTCTAAATTTCTAAAACAACGGAGGTTGTATTTCTTTGTTGTCACAATACTAAGGAAATAGAAGTCAGCCACATCAGTTATTTGAGCATGACAACTAATCAACTCAGCCATATCCTTAACATGTCATCCCTAAAATACAAAAAATATTCATAAAATTGCATATAACTATTTTTTTTCAAGCAATCAAGAGAAACTTGTAAATAAGTGCGATTGCAATATAGCGTGGACTGTATACTTGCAAACTATGTGTCCAAATTTCCAATTAGGACAGACATAGACAATCTAAAACACACCAAATTATTTCCCCCTTTTTCTATATATATGAACTTATCAGCTTTGATCCATGTGGTTTAGAATCCATCGGATGAGTTCCACCGACCCTAGCTAAACCAGCAGGAATGGAACTACGCACCACGCAAATTACAATCACATAATGAGCAGATTAATAAACGAAGCAAGGAACGGAGCGAGGGGTGGCAGAAGGCTTACGCGAGGATCCACTTGCCGTTGAGGAGGGTGAGCGCCTCGGTGGGCGCCGGCGTGGGGTTGCGCGCCTCGAGCTGCGTGATGAGCTCGACCACCTCCGCCCGCGTCTCGCTGGACGCGCGTAGGCCGCGCTCCGTCCCGTACAGCGCCGCCTTGAGCTTCTGCTTGAGCGCCGCCACCTCGACCGCGGCCGCGGCAGCCTCCGAGGGCGCCTCCGCCACCGACGTCCCTCCCACCGCCGGCTCCTTCCCCCACTCGTCGTCGGCGTCCACGGGCGCCGCCCGCGCCGCGACGACGCGCCGCGCGGCCCGCAGCGACGGGAAGCGCCGGGCCGCCGCCGGGACGAGGAGGCGGCCGCGGGCGGCGGTCGCCCCCGGGGCCTGGGGCGACGGCGCGGACAGGGACGCGGCGTTGAGGGACGCTGCTACTCCCGCCATGGCGCGAGGCTCGGCTCGGGTCTCGTGCTCCTCTTCCTCTGCGACGGTCCTCCTTTTTTTTCTCTCGGCGATGCGCAATACTTTAATGCCTTTAATTTTGGCGCCGCGAGTACTTGTAGAGAGGAGAGACGTGTCGAGCCGTCGAGGTGCGTGCGGTGGGACTGGCGCGGGATGCGTTGGTCGCGTGGTCGCCTGAGAGTGCGCCGCGGGGTGCCGACGGGGAGAAGAAACGTGGGCCTGAAAAAATGGTTTAGCTGAACATTGCGAAATGAACTGGGGATGGTGCTTGACTGGATGCTCGCGGGCTTCTAGAGTGCTCTGGACCTATGCGAGCATGCGAGACGTGCACGCTTGGCGCCCGCTTCTGACCTGCGGAGCACCTCGACGACTGGCGGTCCATGTGTCCTGTCCCATTCTTCCTCGCGTGTACAGTTTTGTTAGGCCAAGTATTTATTGTTTTTTCCTAAAAAGGTACTCCCTCCGTTCCTAAATATTTGTCTTTCTAGACATTTCAAATGACCACTACATACGGATGTATATAGACATATTTTAGAGTGTAGATTCACTCATTTTGCTCCGTATGTAGTCACTTGTTGAAATGCCTAGAAAGACAAGTATTTAGGAACGGAGGGAGTATTTATTATTATTTTCGTAATTCTTTTTTTATTGTTTTTCCTTAGTTTTGAGGTTGCTTGACTCTGCCATGCCCAACTTAATTTAAAATATCGGTGAAAAAATAATTTATAATATATTTTTTAAAGAATGCAATGTAATAGCAGACGTGCGTTGCTTTTCTTTCACAGTCGCGGTTCGTTCTCGCAAGAGGCGAAAGGAATGCAGAGAAGTTCCCTCGGTTGGCCGCTGGCCAGGCCGTGGGCTCCTCCCCTCTCCGGCGGCTGTTGCGGCGGTGGGAGAGTTGGAGAGCCCTGAATTTGTGCCCTCTGTCTGTACATACTAGGGATAACGTTTTAGGTGTCGGTGTTTTGATGGTGGCAGCGGCGGCACAATGAATAAGTCTTCCTCGACCTTAGCCTCATCCAGGTATCTTCCTCGGAGGCGGTGTCGTGGTTCTAAGTCTGACAGTAGTGTAGGGGGTAAGTATGGAGAGGCAAGATCTTAGCTGTGGAGAAGTTGTAAGCACGCAAGGTTTACGAGTTCAGGCCCTTCTCGGAGGAAGTAATAGCCCTACGTCTCGGAGCCCGAAGGCGGTCGACTGGATTATATGAATGTGGGTTACAGAGGTGCGAACCCTTATCTCGGAGGAGGGGGGTGGCTTATATAGAGTGCGCCAGGACCCCGGCCAACCCACGTTATAAAGGGTTCAATGTACATTAAGGCAGAGCGTTACTGGTAACGCTAGTAATAAAGTGTTATGATGACCATAAAGGCTACTTAATGACCGACCGTTAGCGTGCGGAGTGACTTCAGGTCTCCTGGCCGTCGAGTGGTTGGATCTTGGTCAAGTGATTGTTTCTTGGTCGAGCGTCTTCGAGTCTGTCGAGTGGAACACCTCCAAGTCGATTGAAAGGTGGTTTCTTCTAGAGATGTCCTTGGGTAGGGCAGTTAGGACAGGTCCATGACCCTACCCTAGGTACATAGCTTCATCATTAGCCTCCGAATGGATCGAGGTTTGAGTGGGGAAGGAGTTGAGAACCTCTCCGACTCGTTTTTCATGCCGTGAGCATATCTTGTTCTGGATCAATGGACCTGAGTGAAGACAGCAACTTCCTTTTCAGTCGCCTTGATCCATTCTTAATTCTTCGTCGAGTGAGTTTCTTCGCTTGTAAGGCTCCGAGTGACGGTGCGGAGGAGATCTTTGGTCTGACCAGTTGTTTGCTGCGCGCAGATTTCACGGGATCCAAATTTTGGGAAGCGCGCGGGACGGGGGAGGCCGCAGTAATCGGATGGGATAGAGCGGAGCCGCCTCGATCCCTGCACCACCTTTTTCGCCACGTATCGCTCGCGCGGTCGTTACGGGATTTGATAGAGCCGCCTGGGCCTACCCTCAGCCACTCGGAAGCGGCCTGATATAAAGCGCCGGACCGGAGTCTCCCGAACAGTGCATCTCATTTCCTCTTCTCTTCCTCATGCCCCTCCGCTGTGCTCGCTCTCGCCCTAGCGCCACCGCACCGTACGCGTCTCGCCGGCGACAATGGGGAAGGAGAAGACAGCGGCTCTGGAGCGGGCAAAGAAGGCGACAGCGAGGTCGAAGGGGAAGGCGACCAGCCGGGGCGGATCTTCCTCGCAGTCCGGCCTGCCGAGGGGCTGGATCCAGGGCGACTGGATCCACTCGAGGATCTCCCAAGAAGACCTCGACGACTTGGCCGAAGGGGGGCTGATCCCCTACGACTCGGTGCGGCTTCCGGGGAAGGAATCTGAGCCGCAGCCTCGGGAGGGTGAGCGTGTCCTTCTTGCCACCCACGTCAACCGTGGATTTTCCTTGCCCCCTCACCCCTTCTTCCGAGGGTTTCTGAACTTCTTTGGGGCACAACTCCATCATTTTACCCCCAACTCAATCGTTTATCTTGCCGCTTTCATTTCTTTGTGTGAGAACTTCCTGGGTTGTCGGCCTCACTGGGGTCTCTTCAAGCATATTTTCACTTGTCGCTCCTAAACAGTGAAAAAGGCTAATCCGAGTGACGAGAGGACCCAAGTGATCCAGATGTGTGGGGGTCTTGGCATCCAGACGAGAGGGAAAAGCTCCTTCCCGGCCATGATTCTTCCTGACTCAGTTCGCGGATGGCAGTCGACCTGGTTTTACTATAAAGACCAGTCGACGCCAGGGCAATCGACTGGCCTCCCTTCCTTTACCATGGATCGAGTGGAAAAACCTGAAGGTGCTCCCGGAGGAGAAGGCGCACGTGAAGGTGCTGGTCGACCGAGTGGTCGAGCTTATTCGTGACGGGGTCACTGGTATGGATCTCTTGGAGGTCTTCCTTCAGCGGCGCATCCAGCCTCTCCAAGCCCGAGACCATCCGATGTGGATGTATTCGGGTCTTGAAGACTCCACTCGGATCCACCCGGAGGAGGTCGACGACGACACACTGGAGAAGTGGCTGTCTGGCATTACCGGGAATAAGGACAATCCCAGGGGAGCCAGGAGAGTCCCTCCATTCGACCAGTCCCACGCACCCGAGCAGGTTTGATTCTGAGTTTTTGCTTGTAATCTGAATTCACTCATGTAGCTGCCTATATTGCGTCGACTGACTTTGATCTACCTGCTTTCTTTCAGGCCATTATTGAAATGTATTCAATGCCCAATGGGGAGCAGGAGCAAGCTCTGGAAGGCGAGGCGAGTGGCGGCGAAAGCGGCGAGTGGACTCCCGATGGTGAAGGGGATGGAGGAAGCGACGACTCAAGCGGTGGAGAAGAAGTCAAGTCGCCTCCTCGCAGGGAGAAGCGATCCAAGCTTGACCAAGAACGGCCGAGTGCCCGTGACAAGGCAACTACTCTGGCTGGTCAGTCTTCGAAGCGCCCTCGGATCTCTTCACCAACCCCGACTGAGAAGGCGCCAAAGCACCCCAGAGTTGTAGAGCCGAAGACTCGGAAGGCGTTGCCGAAAATCAAGATTGATATCCCCGTCGCTTCCGCGTGAGTGCCTCTCTTTGCATTCACTCGACGCTCCGTGCTGTTTGTTTTTCTTGTTTTAACTGGACGAACTTTGGAACTGTCAGCGCTGCTACCTCCGGGACCTCAACTTACAGGGACGAAGATGAGGTGATGGAGGATGCGGTCACTTCTAATCCGGGTATGATCCCTGCCATACTGTCTTTATTTTGGTCGATTCAACTGCAACGCGTACCATTGGGTGATGTGACTTTAACGATTGAACTTTGCATAGCTCCCAACGTTATTGACCTCCCTGATGATGATGAAGAGCCCGAGAGGCCTTCGACGAGGAAAAATAGGCGAGCTCCTGCAAGCGGGGCGCTACAGACGACGCCGAGGGCGGAACCAGTTGTTCAGGACACTGGCGACGTCAATCGGGGTTCTGTTACCTTCGCTGAGCCACTGTCGAGTGCCTTGCCTTCTTCATCGACTGCTCAGGCCCCTGTCGACCCGCCTTCAGTTTTTGCGACCCATCATGTCCCAGAGGATGAGGTGAATGCTGCTAAGGAAGCCATACGCCAGGCGGGCATTATGATGGAGAAGATGAAGACGGTGCGGGACGCCAGCCAAGCCGCCTATGATGCCAGCTCGGCTCTCCAGAGCAACGTTCAGGTTAGTTGGTCGCCGCTTGTTCTGTTAGGATATGCTACCTGAAGATTCTTTCCGAAAACCTTTGCATCTGTACACCCACTGGGTGTGTCGATTGAATTTTTGGACTAGTGGGGGCACACTGAGTGCACCCACTGGGTGTAGTCCCCGAGACTACTATGTACTGCTGGCAGTCGACTGTAGTCTTTGTATTTTGTCGAATGTATAAACTGAACTGGTAGTTTATCTCTTCCACTCGATCTGGTCGAGTGGGATCAAAACCGGTGGGGGCACGCCAAGTGCACCCACTGGATGTAGTCCCCGAGACCGCGGTCGACTGCTGGCAGTAGATTGTGGTCTGAGTTCTACTTTCTCTATCTCTCTTTTTTTTCCCTCACTCGACTCCGGCGGACCGGTCGAGTGGGATCAGAACCGGTGGGGGCACGCTAAGTGCACCCACTGGGTGTAGTCCCCGAGACTATGGTGGACTGCGGGCGGTCGACCGTAGTCTTAGTATTTATTGCCTTTGTTGTTGTTTTTGCTGTAAAAATAACTTCTCCCCTTTGATTTCAGAAATCTTGTGATCTTGGAGCTCGCTTTGCTGACTTAGAGAAGCAGTAGATTCAACTGAACCTTGACTTGAAGCTGGCCAGGACAGAGCTGCAAAAGATCAGAGACGGCGCCGCAGGTAAGACGAGTTTGTCGACTGGTCAGTTTTAGGCTTGAGTACCCTTCCGCTATTTCTGAATCAATCATCATTTCTTTGTAGAAAAACTAAGAGAAGCTCTGGCGAAGAAGGATCA